TGATCTCGGCTCACTGCAACCTCTGCCTCCCAGGTTCAAGCAATTCTCCTGCCTCAGCCTCCTGAGTAGCTGAGATTACAGGTGCCTACCACAATGCCCAGCTAATTTTCTGTATTTTTATTAGAGACAAGGTTTCACCATGTTGGTTAGGCTTGTCTCGAACTTCTGACCTCAAGTGATCTGCCCACCTTGACCTCCCAAAATTCTGGGATTACAGGCGTGAGCCACCACGCCCAGCCTATAACAACTTATTTTAAACATTATTCCCAAATTCCACTAATCTTTGTGTCAAGAGAAAAATACTGGCTTATTAAAATTTACTTTTCCTTTTACTCTTCTAAATGGCTCGAACAAAACTCATGGTCCCTTGAATGTTAATTGGGTTTCAGGTGCGGGCAGATGACAGAGAAATACATAATATAAAAACAATCCTTTGTTTTGTCTATAAATTTATCTTTCTTGCCCTTCAAGTGTACTTGATGGTCCAGTGGTTTCCAACTCTGATACAAAATTTTCATTTGCCTTTATAAGAAATCATCTAGCATAAAGAAGGGGTCATATTTTATCAGCATCATCACCGACAAACACATCACCATCACCACTTTTTAATTTGTAGAAAATCCAGTCTTATCTGCCAAGTTGGCAAGATATCAAAAGAGCGTGGATTGTTTTAAGGTGGTTCAGTTCTGGATGGAAGTTTATGGTCAGGTCTGGGGAGAACTTCTATGTCATAAACCTCCACATCACATAGGTTAACAGAGTAGTAGAATTGTGTAGGTACAGAGACCTGATGAAACCTACTGACACCCCTGCTTTTCAAACCAAGAGAGTGCCCCTTCTAGGGTGCCCTTGGGAATGTGCAGCCATGAATTAGGTGTGCCTGGAGTAAAGGCACAAACAAGACTGCGAGATGGGATGAGATGAGTGCGAATGACTGCATGGAGAGAGGTTTAGGTAGGACATAATATCTATGTTTTAAATATCAAAACAAGCTCAGATGATGGAAACAAGTGCAAATTTTTCATAAAATTTTAGGAAAAAACTAACTTATTTTCTGTTTAGAGCAAGCATTCAGACCTGTAGAGAGTACAAATTCATTCAGCCCAGAAGAAACGCTTAAGGAGAGTGATCTGATCCCATGCTTTCATTATGCTGCAAGGAAACAGAAGTGATTTACCAGCCCACTAGAATCCTGGCTTTCTGACTGCCAGGCCTCGGCTCCAATTCACAGCTCTTTAAGAAAAAAGGAAATGCAGAATTAACTTCTATTAAATTTCATCCATGGGCCAGACAGGATGCCAACTGCCAGGCATTGTCATCATCACAAACAGTGGTTACCAGCTCAGGCTCCCAGGCAAACTTCTTCAGTGGGCAATTGGTTCCACCTCTTACCTGTGTGACTTTGGACAGGTCATTTTTAAGTCAACTGATTCCTAGTTTCTTCACTATAAAATGAGGATCATAAATGAAACTTCTTTACTGACGAGAATTAAATGAGACAACCTTTGCAAAATGCTTAATGGTGCTTGGCGTGTACATGTTAGTTCAATGAAGACTGACTAGAAAAAAAGAGAAAAAAGTCCTTTATATGTGGGAGGGGTGAGGAAGAGGCAGTGGGGGTTGATTTTATGGCTGTTTCACAGATGAGAAAAATTGGGGTTGAGTAAAATTCACTAATTTGCCAGCAAGTTGCAAAACCAGAATGTGAAATTGTCTGTTTGAAAACCCACTTCAGACTGTGTCTGCTGCACCGCAACGCCTTCCTGTAAGACAGCCGAGAGCTGGAAAGTATGCTGAGGCCATTCCCTTTGGGAGCTGGCTGCCGCACTCGCTGGACTCACGCTGAGTTCTGAAAGCCCTCTGGCAGCTCCCCAGCAATTCCAGCAATCTGCAGAGTTCTGAACTGGGCGCTGCCCAGGTGGCAGAAGTCAGTGAGCATGTCCAGGTGACAGTGCAAATACGATTGTAGGTTGGAGTCCGTCCAGAATGTGACCTTGACTTCTTTTAGCCATTTCCCAGTTCGTTTTCAAGGGCAGATGCTGCGTCCTCTCTTTCTGCAGGGCTGACTCACTCCATGCCCAACACTGTAAGAGCTTTTGCTCTCTGTCTCAGCTCTGCCAATAACGTGACCCCGGGCAGCTCACTTTACTTCTTCAAGGCAGGCTTAGGATAGATCCTCAAGCCACACCCTGGCCAACAACTCGGATTCTACAGAGTGAGACACTGAAATATTTGTATTTCTTTATGGTGACCTTTTCACTGAAGTAAACCTTACATCAGGAAAAAGTGTGCAAGCCCTGTAAATATACAGATTAATTTTCACAAAGTGAACACAGTCTCACACTAAATAATAAAGCAATCCAGCCCACAAGACACCCTCTGGGTCCCCTACTAGGCACCACTCTCCCAAGATAACCACTCTATTCTGACTTTTAACATCATAGCTTACGTTTGCCAATTCTGAAATTTTAGATAAATGGAATCACACAGCACGTATTCTTTTGTACGTGGCTTCTCTCACTCAACAGTGTGCTTGTGAAATTCATCCATGTTATTGCTGGTAGTTCTAGTTTGTTTTCATTGCTATATAGTAAGGGATCAATCTCTGGTTTTATAAATAAAGTTTTATTGAAACACTGCCAGACTAATTTGTCTCAGTATTATCTACAGCTGCTTTCACACTGCAGTGGTAGAGCTTGGTTGCCACAGAGATTACATGGCTGGCAAAGTTAGAAATATTTACTATCTGGCCCTTTACAGAACAAAGTTTGCTGAACCCCACTCTCTGGTATCCAATCATATGAGCCCACCAACATGCCTTCCTTTATTCTTTATTCGTTGATGGACATTCAGATTGT